CTACAAGAATATTCATTTCAAAACAAAAAAATATATCAGATCACTTTAACTAAAATTATTTATTAAATTAAGATACCGTTCCAAACATATACATCAAAAACAATATCAAAAACATTGAAATTTGATCGTACGTTAAAATCTTGACTCAGCATTTCCCATAGATGTTTGTTCAGACTATGGTGGCACAAATTTCTATTTCAATTATAATTTTTTTGTACGTTGAATGTTACTTAAAAAGGTGCATTGTGTAACTTGCCTCCGTGGAATGTTATTTTTTGCTTGGGATGTTCCACAGTACGGCATTAAGCTCACCTATCTCCATGGCGACGAGCACGCGACGCCAAATCTGAGAAGGTTTTTTTCCAAGTTTTCAAAGTGTTCTGGAGAAATTAAATGACCTTGAATTGAATAAACGAATGGATGGAACGATGGACAAGTTTAATGCTGTAGTGCGGGACATTCCAAAGCAAAAAAGTTACACAGTGTAGCTTTAAGCAGTCTTTTTGACCAGTTTTGTTTTGTGTTTTAGACTGTAGGAAGCCACCACGATCTGTTCATTTAATGGGAGAAACTGGTTATGCTTGTACAGTAGCACACGTAAAATCCACACAAACTAAAACGTCAATACTTTAAACGAAAATAAGATTCAACAGATTATGTACACGGAAATTAAGTCGATGAAGAGTTAGCTGCAAACGAATAGTGTTTTAATAAGAAAAGATTCCCAGTGTTCAAAGTGTAGAGGTAGGTAGCGACAGGCCGTAGACAACCTAACCCTCCAAAAAATCTGACGGATCAATTGAAAAAAGGTCCACCATGCAAGTCTTCCGTAACTGGAAAGCTCCACGGTATGGCATTAAACTCATCTATCTCCATGGAGACGAATAAGTCACAGGTTACAGGGCAGAAACTCTACTCTCCCTAACAATGTCTGTTTTTCAGCAAGACCTGTAGCTGAACAGAAATCACAGGTGGAGTTTGCGGGGTCAGGGGGGTCACTGCTCCCCCTAGTGGCTGAAATATGTCACGACATTCATTGAGTCTATAATATGGCCAATAAAAATATTTACTTAAAAAAAATGTATAAATATTTTAAATATGTCAATAACACTAAAAGACTGTATGAAATAAATATGAATCCTAGTCTGAAAACAGGTCTAAACTAAGTCTAAACCAGGACTAGTCTCGTCCTAGTCTCGTCTTAGTCTCGTCTTAGTCTCGTCTTAGTCTCGTCTTAGTCTCGTCTTAGTCTCGTCTTAGTCTCGTCTTAGTCTCGTCTTAGTCTCGTCTTAGTCTCGTCTTAGTCTCGTCTTAGTCTCGTCTTAGTCTCGGTTCAGTTCTGTTTTAGCCTTGGTTCAGTTCTGTTTTAGCCTTGGTTCGAGTCTCGTTTTAGTCCCGGTTCGAGTCTCGCTTCAGTGCCATTTTAGTCTCTTCTTACTGTGCACATGGCAATACGCCTTTTAAATCTTGAATCTAGTGCCCTGCCATTAAAATGTTCACCCCTCTAGCGCAAAAGTCAAACTCCGCTTATGACAGAAACACATTACGGATGAGTTTAATGCCATACACTGGACCATTCCCGGCAAAGTGAACACATGTCTGTGGAAGACGATGAACCTCTGCGTCAGAAAAGTTACACGATGCATCTTCAAAAAGCAAAACAGCAATACAGTGACTTCGATCGAGCTCGTGTCTAAGCAAGTCAAGTCGTCAAGTCGCCCATTTACCGCAGAGTCTCCGAGGTCCGAGCACCCGTTCACTTCTCTGCGTCGGTATGGCTTCGGTAACAGTACTGAACCGTGAGATTTACCGTGATAGAGCACTTGTTTAAAAACCTGAAAATGCGATTCTCGAGTTAGCACCAGATTAAATCGTGGCTACTCTAAAAGGCGGTTAAGACTATCAGACGTCTGCTACTGTGATGGGCTCAACTTGGTCTTTAAGTGTTAATTAAAAGAAAAATCAGTGAGCAATTATTGTTTTTGTGAATTAAAAACAAATATATACACACACAAATGTAGTGATAAAACGTGTCAAAAGTTAAATCTGTGTAGAGAAAGTTAAATCTGTGTAGAGAAAGTTAAATCTGTGTAGAGAAGGTGCGCTGCGCAGATTTTCTAGTGGAGGAACCAACCGTCACTGTTTTGTCTCCATGGACGTGTTATTGTACCGTATTTTCCGCACTATAGGGCGCACTTAAAAGGCTTTAATTTCATCAAAAAACAACTGCGTGCCTTATAATCCAGAGCGCCTTATATATGAATTTATTGGGGTGTCTTAGTACGACTTTAGTAAACTACAAAGCCACACCACTTGCAGCTTTACGGCAACTGTATTCAGGAGCATTGTGGAGTAATACATACTGTGATTCCTTTTAATATCAAAATGCACCTGTCAAGAGACACGCTTACAACGCTGACTTTAAACTCAAGACTGTTATAAAGTGAAAGTGCGAACTGCATGGGAACAGTGAATGAGAGAAGGCGAACACACATTCACCATGACAGGGAGACAGCGGCAAACGACTTACGCCACAATCTGCCAACGGATCGTGGACGCCTGGGCTAAGGATCAGTATCAACTGTGGTTCGAGCTACCAAGACCGGAATCATCACTAAACTGCCAGGGAACAGTAACAACACTGACTTGGATAATGACGAGAGGGATACGGGCGTGCTGGGGGCCGTAATCACCCAACTGTTTGAACAATTACGGGTGACTGTGAATAATCTAACAATTTAGCATCTCAGACAGTATTTTTTTAATGCGTTACAACTGAACAAAGTTGAGAGTTATTGTGAACGCGTTAAATAAAGTTTGACTGACTTATCTAATTGTTGTGTTTCGCTTAATGTGCCTTATAGTCCGATGTGGTTTATATGCGAAAAAAATTCAAAAATAGACCATTCAATAACAGTGCCCCTTATAATCCAGAGCGCCTTATAGTGCGGACAATACGGTAACGTAACATAGCGTAGTGCTGTAATATATTAGTGCTGGACCCTCCACTAGGATTGTTACGCAGTGCACCTTTATTGAAATGTGCAAAAGAGCGAAACAAAAACAAAAGTGACAAAAGTGTACCGTGTTTTTGTGTAGTGAACGAGTCGACGGCCATTAAACTACCAACACCAGTGAAACGATCCCATGGACTTTACAGTACTAATTTGTGCAATAAAACTACCACTTCTCAAACAAACATGTGACCCCAACGCAATCTCCGCTCCCCAAATAAAAAGGCACCAAGGTACTAGCTTCAATGTAGCTTCAAGGCTCCACCAGGTCCTCTAGAAACCTACGTAGCTGCTACAGAGAGACGACCACACCCACTATGATTATCACAGAACTAGAATTGCACATATAATCAAGAAACACAAATCTAAAAGGTGTCAAATGTTAAAATAAAAACGATTTAAACATAAGTTCAAACGGCGACTGCATACGCAACTCTACAATACCAGACGCTTTGCTGCCTGAGACTTTGGTATGCACAGAAAGGCCTTCCACATCTTCACTCTTGGCTCGGTTTACATGTTCACACCGATAATCTGGGGTCTGAACTATAAAACTTTGAGAATTCTTGTCAAAATATACTTAGGGACACAACTAGAAATAGATCAGATATTTTGTTTTGGCTGATGTGCTGCCGACAAAGCTTAATTTTAACACAAAGAGGGCAGGTTTGTGGTATAAAAAAGGGCAGTGGGTTAGTTCGTAGTAAATTAAAATGATATAACTTGGAGAAAATTGTAAAAATCTGCCCAAAAATATCAGCAATCTTATCGGCCAGCAGTTGCTCAGCTTTCTAAATAATCTACATCGGCATCAGCCATGGAAAAAAACAAAAACCTACACAGATCGATCTCTAATTTCCCCAAACTTCCTCACTTCTCTTCAGAACTTCTGGACCACATCGTTCATTTTTATGTTAATGTTTAGTTGTCTTTCTGTGTTAACCTTGCAGTCTATTAAAAGTAATGTACATAAATCTTTTGCACGTACGTTTGCGTTATAAATTCAGATTTCTGGAGTTGTCAGATTTGTTAAAATCTTAATCTGACGTGACTAATCGGATTAGATGTTTGATTACTCATAAAATTGCTGTTAGAATGTAATTATGATAAATCCAGAGCAATAATCTGGTCTCTAATTTAGAAAGAATGCGTACGTACAAAAATGTTACATGTTAAACTACTTTCTGTGATACATTTATGATTGATAAATCGACAACTTAACCTGAAAATTTGCGATTTGATTCAAAAAATTCTGAACTTTGGATGTCAGAGAGAAGCAAGTTTGCGTTTTGCTCCTCTGTACACCTTTCCGTAAGAATTCAAGTTTTATAAATGAGCCCCAGATCTCCAGTTATCAGATTTTGTTTATGTAAATACAGCCAATGTCAACCACGTGTAAATTAACACAAAGTAAAGATGCTTAAATCGGACCTTGTCATATCTGCCTCATCTGAGCTTGTGGCTAATTATTCAAATGGACTCCATACATAGTCCATAAAACAGCGCAGAACTTGCCCTGTCACAATAACTACTCCATCAACTTCAATATACTGTATAAAAGCTGGACCAGTTCAAACATTCAACCATTCAAAAAGATTTGGTTTTGAATTGTCGATTGCGTTGGCAAAAGTCCGAGCTTTGGAATGGATACGCAACAGTGTAGTCGTCATCGTGACAGGCCTATGCAGAACATGCAGAGAGCTGTGCGTTTCCACTCCACAAACACTTTTTAAACGCGCCCATATTACGCAAAATTTACTCCTGTGAGCTTTAAGACAGGTTAAAATGTTGTTACCTCCTCAAAAACATCCCTGGAGTTGTGTTTTGTTTCATTCACATGTTTGAGTAAAGCTTTATTTTTAATTCGTGTACATCTCCAAAGCTTAAAAGTGGTAGTTTTAGTAATTCCAGGGCTGAAATTACCCAAATGATTCTAGTGAAGGTGCATGGAGTTTAAAACACAAGATGGAACAGAGTGCTTTCCGTTTGACAGAAAAACTCAGTGTAAATAAGCAGGATTGGTGTGTTAAAAATGTGTGAATGAAACAAAACGAAACAAAACTCCAGGTATGAAACAACACTACAACATCGATCAGAAAACAGCGTAACACGGGCCCTTTTAAAACGTCAGTCTCTTCGCTGTGATAAACTCCTCCAGCTGCACCTTCCCGCTCCCCATCAGGCCGAAAGCGGGATACATGGTCCCGGAACAGTCGACCGGCCGCTCGTAAAGGCACCGCATGGAGTCGGCGTCGTAAAAGTAAACTCTGCACGCGTCGTAATCCAGGCAGACGCCCATCCGCTGAGGCATGGGCAGGATCCGGCTGCCGTGGTCTGCCGCCGCGTTCACGGAGCTCACGGAGGAGGACGAGGAGGACGCTTTGGGGATGAAGACTTTGCCCATGCCCAGAGTGAGGAGAGTGAAGGGTTGGGACAGCTCGTAACAGGTGTCCTCGCTGCCGCTGTCGTGTCCGCTGTCATGGTCGTACCTGAAGGAGGAAAAAAAAAAAAAAGCACTTTAACGTTCACTACTATGCTTTTTTAATACATTTAGAAACAAATTAGCCTTTATATTATCTGTGGTATCCCTTTTTAATGTAATATGTAATGATTAATAATAATAAAAACAGTGTAGTTGTCACGAAAGAACACAAAAAACTGAAAAAGAAAGCAGTTTGTAACATCCACACCAAAATCTGATTATAATATGGACCGTTAAGATTATTTATATAACATATAAACTGCAAACTCTGATGATTATGAGAAATCAGTGGGACCATGATCTGAAAGAAATCAGATTTTTTTTTACTTTTGACATTTTCAGATGTTATTGCTTTTCCTGGAATGTTCCCTGGTATAAAAATAAACATATCCGCCTTTATTCAGTATTTATTAGGTGTTTTTATTGCTCAAAAATACCATAATTCCTGTGAATAGGGGCGACTCTCCACAGATCTGAACTGTAATGTAGTGTAGCGTAGTGCTGTAATCTACTAGTCTCCCTCGCCCCTTTGCTGCACTATCTTCCTGTGGCCTGTTGTACATAGCCTCAGATTTTATATTTTATTTCTTATTTTTCTGTTTAATTTTGACTTGTACACTTACATTTATATAATTATGCCTTATTTCACACCTGTCTCTTGCTACCTTTTTTGCTACTTATTTAAAATGTATTATTACCATTCATATTTTTTACTTTTCCCTATCCACCTTTGCCGTTTATTTTATTTCTAATGTAAATTTAAATTTTTATTTTATTTTATTTATATATTATATTATATATATATATATATTATTATATTATATTTATTTTTTTTTTATTATTTTTTATTTCATTTCATTTTATTTTATTTTATTTTGAGACGGGGACAGCGTACAATTTTTACATTAACCTTAACAGGATTGTACCAGGTTGTAGCATCAGTGCTAATTTCCACCTGTAAAGTTTGTCTCAGTCTAAGTCTAAGTGACAGATAATTTTACATTTATTTCCATGGAGAAATTAGGCTTTGGACTAGAAATGTTACACAGTGCTCCTTTAAAACAAAACAGAAAGTCTGACAATCAAATTTTAAGCGCACATGTAAAAGGAAAAGGAGCCACTGTAACTGCCTGTGGAAAACCGGATAAGACATTAACCATTAACTGAGCAAACAGATGATAAGCTTGTGAAAGTGTACACAGCAGCCATAGACTCTTACGTCCAGGGACTTAGGAATGTCCAACACATTTTGCGTTGTTCAGGCACTTAATAAACAGTTTTTACAAATCATTATTCAACTGTGACTTTATTGTGTTCCATCAAAATGATAAATAAAATAAAATGAATGTTTTATATTATGTCATATGTGGCAGTGGCGGAGTTAGAAATTTAGGTGAACTTGAGTTTGGGGCCCTCACTATAATGCAGTTTTTTGGGTTTGTTTTGTTTTAATATATTCATTGTCTGTTATTCCCCATTGTTCTTGAGACATGCACATCTCTATTTTAATTATGGTGGATTGGAAACTTGTCTTATTATTATATAGGAAGCCTACTAGATAACCAGAACTGAAAGTAGTTTTTTTTTTTTCGCTAGTAAAATTACATTTTTGTTTACATCCACTACATATGATTATTATTATTTTTCTTATGATTACTGTTTAAAAGTTAAATACTCTAATTTAAAGCCATATTGAGAGAAAATCAAATTGGAAATTGGTTGGGGGCCCCTCCAGGTTTGGGGGCCCCAAGTGACCACCTACTTTTGCCTAATGGTAGCTCCGCCTCTGGTATGTGGTCAATTTTTCTCAAACCACATCATATAAAAATATACTTCTTTGTTTTTGCACTAATCAGGTCCCAATCCGTCCAAATAACGTGCGAGAGTTTGGGTCTTAGAAGGTTAAGGTGCAACCATCTTTACTGAGACAACCAACCACAAAGCCATTTCATAGATCAGATCTGTGCAGAGGTGATCTCACGCGAAGTAAGATATAAATGTTTTACACCAATTAAACAAACCCGAGCGGTGAAAGTGCAAAGTGAAAGTTGTTTTGAGTCGTCTGCTGGACTTGACTGCAGATTACCAGGTGAGAATGGAGCTTTGTGTGAATAAGCCGTTTACAGGTTTACACGGCTGCGCTGACGTCACAGGATTAACATGTGACTGAGGTGAACTGTGCATGCAAAAGTGTGAACGCTCAAGCTCACATTTCTATAATAACTATTTCTGAATTGTACCATTTATTTGTATTGTTATAGGGTATTTTACACTATTTTGCTGCTGTTTAGGCTTAGGAACTGCTTATTAAAGGCAGATTCGTACCTAGTAAGCACTTAAATGAATACGCTTTGTTCATTAAAAGGATAAACAAAAGGGTAGATATTGACTTATTGATTTTAGAACCATGATTTGAAACGGGCTATATAAACAAAGTTGTGTTTTGTGCTTTATTTTCACAGCTACCGTTACTATTAGTATCAGAATCATTATTATTATCATCACTTAAATGCATCTTGATCAATAAAAAAACAGGACAAGTCTTCTGTTTACCTTGGGCTGCTGGTGTCCCGTGGATTATGAAACCATTCCAGGAGCTTTGAGTCGGAAGCCACTCCGACCTTAACCATGAAAGAGTACGGTTCAACTCTGAAGGCCCAGAAGTGTCTGCAAAACAAACCATCAGATCTTTGGTCAAAATCGAACCGTATGTGAAGAAAAACAGATTATCAACCTCTATGAGAAATAAAGTTAGTACATGATTATAATATTACAGATGAGCTTGATCTGATAAAGATCCTAAAAAGACTTGAAAAACATTGAAATGCTTCCGAAAGTATGTTTAATTTTAACTGTTTACAGCTGCATTAGTGTCCATCTGTCACAAGAGGGCGCTGCTAAAGGATGCCTCAACATGATTACTACAGACATTGTGTTTTTCATTCATACCTCGAGTACACACTGTATAATTTTTGTGAAATTATTAAAGTTGGTCACATCCAAGTACCTAATTCATAATTATCAAAACATTCTAGAGACCATAGTTTTAAAGGTGAACACCAGCTTTTCTGATGGACCTTGCTTTGCCTGAAATGCTTCACAGTATGGTATTAGCTCATCATATCATTGTTGCATTGTCTTTATATGACCTCTTGTATAAAGCTGAGATTTTATATTTTATTACTTATTTTTCCATTTTATTTTGGCTTGTGCATTTACATTTATATAATTATGTCTTATTTGATACCAGTCTCTTACTGTTTTGGCTACTTATTTAGATTTTATTACTACCATTTCAATTTTAGTTTTTTTTAGTTATTATATTATATTGTCATGAGATACTGTGTCCAAATAATTTCCCTTGTGGATCGATAAAGTTTGTCTAAGTCTAAGTCTATTAAATTTTATCCATAGAGCAGACGTGTCAGACTCGAGCCTGGGGGCCAAATTTGGCCTGCAAGATCATATCAAATATGTATTAGAGCTACAGATATAATTAAAAATTTTGTTATTATGCTTTCCTGGATTCAATCTTTAAGCAAAATTATTATTAAACATTTATTTTATTGAGAAAAAGGTTAACACTGCATATCTCAAAAGAAGAGAAACATGCAGATGTTGAAATTTTTCAATAACTGCTTAAGTTGGCCCATGGCTTAGTCCCAAGTTTTTAATTTTGGCCCTCTGTGAATTTGAGTTTGACACCCCTGTCATAGAGGCAAGCAGGTGGCTCCACTAGACCAAGTTACAGGTCAAATCTGTGGAGAGGCAAGCCCACTCACAGTAAGAATGCATGTTTGTCAACGTATATTAAGCAAGAAAAACACCTGTAATCAAATGAATGCAAGATAGAGAAGTTTACCGGCAAATTCCAGGCAGAAGTTACATCGTGTACACCTCTAACCTCTGCAGTAGTAACCCCACCTCTCCTTTCTTACCTTCCCTGAGAGATTCCAGTGTCTCCGATGATGTAGTCCAGTCCGATGTAGCTCCCGGTCTGGACTCTGTCTGCAGCCAACAGGAAGCCCATCCCGGCCACACTCTCCACTGAGTCCCTCCTCTTGTTCAGAACCAGGCGCTCGGTGCTGAAGCCGCACTTATCGTTGAACAGGAACCCAAACGCTGAAAAACACATAAGACAAGAGGGATATACAATTTTTAAATTCTTTTTATTACTTATTTCTATTTTATTTTCCCTTGTACATTTATAGAATTACACCTTATTTGACATCAGTCTCTTGTCATTTTTGCTTCTTATTTGGAATTTATTATTAGCATTTAAATTTTTTCTTCTTGTTATTATAATATATTGTAATGCTTGAGCTACTGTGTCCAAGTAATTTCCCTTGTGGATCAATAAAGTTTGTCACTAGAATCATGTAGTTCCACTTATAAAACACAAGATGGCAGTATAAGTACATTTAACTTACTAGTAGATGCAGTGGAATTTTCAGTAGGTCTAATGTAAAACCAGTTTTTCTTCCATTTATTTATTTCAGATTGGACAAAAAGGGGTGAGTTACATCTCTAAAGAAGCTGTAGTTCCAAAAAGTAGTTCTACAATCACAATGAAAATATTAAATTAGAAATAACGATTAATTATTATATCCAGTCTCGTGTCTTGTTTCATCTTTCCCTGACTAAATTATAGGAGTAGTGGTCAAAAAAGTCCCACTACAGTACAAGGTTAACACTATTATGAGTGAATGAATAAGTACCACATAAATCAAATCATTATAATAACCAATAATTACTACAGTACATTGTTAATATATGTATAGTGTAAAAGAATAAGGTCAAGACTATAATTTAGATGCAAATTTAAAACTATCTGAATCTGGGACGACTGAACAATTTATGCACATTTTTATACAGTTGTGTGAGATCCTAATGACTACACAAACACAACTAATACAACCAGGGCAGCATCATTATTTGAAATGGAATGATAAATATAAAAATCTCCAAGGCTGCGAATATTTAAATTTTTTTCTCTGGGGGCCACATTATCGCTCCTGACTGTGATGGGGGCCGGGGTCGGGTCGGTCGTACAACAGAATTGTACGGCCCTGACGACGCAGATTATATTCTTTGAAAACCGCCACACTTTCTTTACATATCAGACAAACTGCACGGTCCAACACTGAACAAAAACAATCGGTCGTCCACTGTTCTTTGAAAACACTGCACCTTGTCAACTTTTCATACTTTAACATTAACTGCACTAAAGAACTCTACAGGTGCGTTGACTGTCACTGTTTGATCTCGAGTTTGTCAGGTGACGAAAATTCGTAATGTAAATGTAAATATATAAATACTTCATATATAATAATTTTTTAATTGAAAAAAAAAAAATAAAATAAAATCAACAAAAGACTATTATTTATTCATTTACAATTTGTTATTTGCCAAAAAGTGATTTAAAAAAAAAATAAAATAAAAAATAGGCCATGAACTTCTGAGGGCCAGTTCTAGTAGTGGGGGGCCGGTCAAAGGGGTGTGGTGGGCCGGAGTCAGCCCGCGGGCCTTAGTTTAATGACCTCTGTCTAAGAGTGTATAAACCCCAATAGTTGACTTCAGTGCAATTTGACACAAAACGTAGTAAAATATTTCCAAATTCTGAACACCACATGTTTTTACTGACAGAGGATTGACTGAATCTTGATTAATTGTTGTATTAGGGCTGTGCAATTAATTGGTTTTGTATTGTTTGTTGTTTTTTTCCCCTTTTGCAACCATCATTATCATCATTATCATTATCATCATTATTATTATTATCATCATTATTATTATTATTTACTTACTGTCTTGTCTGTGGTTGTAATTTTATCAAAACTGAACCTGTCAAGCCACTAAATTAATCGCGCCGTGGTGATGGACTCCATATTCACAAGCTTGCCCAGCTTCTTTGGGAGTTTTTTTTTCCCCCCCCACATATGGCATACATAATATATATGTCAAATGCATGTACATATTTATATATACGTATAAAAGTGTGCCTTGAGGGAATAAAATTGTGGGGGAAAAAAATAAATTGAATTATTTGAACAAACACATACATTATCTGAGAAAAAAAAAAAAAGAATGGTTATTTTATCTGAAGTCAGTCACCAGTTCTTTGGTCTTTTCAACGCTCAGTAGCAAATGGACCAGTCAAAACTGTCCTGTACTCCAGCTTCTGTCCATCTCTGATACACCCAAACGCCACAGAGTCATCAGGGAACAGGACCAGGAGCTGAACTAGAAATCAGAGATGTACCCAGTAACTACAAATCTAATCTCCGTCGCAGTACTTCCTCGCCCTGTATTCAGAGTCTTGCATCTCCTCCTCTCAGTACTGTGTGTGCATGTGTTTGTACATGTGTCTGTGCATGTCCTGCCTCTCAGTTGCACCGTGACCTGAAATTCCAGCTCATTACTGACGCAGACCGAGTCCATCCACAGAGGAACACAGAGCACAGATCACAGAGCAGAGGAATGTGGAACCATCAGAGTAAACAAACTCACCAACAACATACAGGACACAGGACAGATTCAATGATATGATGCTGATTTTTAAATAACTTATCGTTAATGGTTTAATCAAATAATCAGCAATTAATGGAATAGTCACGTCTAATTATGATTAAGACATAGTTCAGTGCAAATGGAGCAAGTTTATTTCAGTTAAGTTACACTAAATTGTCCCCATATGGAAATTTGACCCATGGATCCAGCTTTTTCAGTTCTGATACGGAGTTTGATACTATAACTTTAAATATCTGTCGATCCGAAACTAAAAACAGCATTTAAAAGTGCTTAAAACTGCCATTTCTTCATGTCGTTTGCACCAAAATGGAGCAAAGCTTCATAGTCAATGTAGTTCCCTCTATTTTTTCAGCTATTGCTGCACCATAACAATGAATTTAAGCAGAGAAAATTAAGACAGAACCGATCCAAACGTGTTATGTAGCTGTTTTTTTTTTTATATATTTTTTTTTTTTATCACAAGTAACTCCAGAACAACTTTGCACAAATAAAAAATAATTTGAGATTTTCTGGACCATATACGACAAGTAAATAGTCTAATAACATCAACATATATGTCCAGTCTGGATATCTGCTGAATTGATATTTAGAAGCAGAGATCCGATCCAACAAATGATTCAATCTTGGCGCAGATATGCAATAGTAGGAGAATTTGCCGATACGATACATACCTCGATACAGTGAGCTTTCGATTCGATATAATGTATTTCAATTTGATGCGATGCAATTCAGTTAAACATAATAGCAAAATCATGGCTGTGATACTAAAAGTCTTTGTTAAACCACTTCTTGTGCAAAGTGAATATGAAACACAAACATTTAAATAATCAAAAATGTGAAAATGTCAAATGTGTCGCATAAATGAGTTTCCTTCCTCTAAAAAAAACAAAACAAAACTGTAGCGCTGTAACAAAATAATTCAACAAAATATACCAAAAAATACTCTTGGCGATATATCGATACAGCAGCCCCCGATATCAATACTGTATCATCACATTAAACCAGGGTTGTCCACTGAGGTCCACAGACAGTAGTGACTTTTTCAAAATGATATAGGCTTGTCTGAGCAGCCACACCTTTAATAAGGCTTGAGCTAAGTTTAGTTAAGTTATATTAAGTCTGTACCGTGTCAAAATAAGTAAAGTTAAAGAAGCAGACTTAAATTAGCAGTAAAAAGAACTACTTTTGGTCATTTGGGCCAATTCCACATAAACTGAGAACCAACAAAATTGGTCTGAGGGCCGCATTTGCACATCTCTCCCACATAATTAAGTCTCTCACATATAAACTGACAGTCACAAGCTCTTTATCCATTAGTTTTTAAGTTAGTCAGTCTCCCCTAAACAGGACCATGAACACTCGTATTGATCACAGGCTCAAGAAAATGTACTGTTTAAATCCATTTTATACTAAAAGTCTTTGTTAAACCACTTCTTGTGCAAAGTTCATATGAAGCACAAACATTTTAATCATCAAAACAGTGAAAATGTTTAATGTGTCGTATAACCACATTTCATTCCTCTAAATGAGCAACAAAACTGTAGCGCTGTAACAAAATAATTTTGTAAAATACACCAAAACATACTCTTGGTGATATATTTATACAGCAGCCCACGATATTGACACTGTATCATCACATTAAATGATACGATATATTGATATTTTGATATTTTTGCACACCCCTATCGAGCACCAGTGTTGGATTGGTGCATCCCTACATCTCGCATTTCTCTTTCCTCGCTTCCTACTCCTTGATTCCTCTCCTCTATTCTCCACAAAATATAAACAGAGGATTAAACTAGTCACGGGGACAATGAAGTTTGATTCTTCTCTCTGACGTCTGCTCCTGAAGCCTCCCACGTGTTTACTCCTTCCTTCCGTGGTTTTCTTTGGAACACCACTTAATATGACACATTTGATTGACGGTTGAAAAATGGGAAATTGAGGAGAGGAAGTGAGGAAAAAGAATTGAGACGTGGCCTTTGTCAGAACTGCCTTACTTGAAGGATTTAAAAAGGGCAATATACCCGATTTTCATAGTCTTAAAAATTTGAAAACCAGAATTGGTTCATTTTAAATTGTTGACAGCAGTCCAAATGCATTTCTTATTTTTCTTACACATTCCTAGCATCCAAATTATTAAGCTTTTTGAATGTTTTACAGTGTTCAGAGACCAGAGTGGAGTTTTGCGGTCACTTTAATGCTTAAAAAGAACTTATTCTAACAGCATTCATCGGTAGGGATGTAACGATATGCAAATCTCACGGTATGATATTTATTGTGATCATTTGTGGAAGCCAACAAAACTGTGAATATGCGACTTTCCTCTTAAAATGCCTTGACAAGACTTAATCCAAAGAACTAAGACTTAAAAGTGCTTAAAACTACTATTTCTTCATGTAGTTTGCATCAAAATGGAGCAAAGCATCATGGTCAATGTAGTTCCCTCTATTTTTTTTGGCTATTGCTGCACCATAACAATGAATTTAAGCAAAGAAACTTGTAATTCGATATAATGTGATGGCCCATGATATTATTGAGAGGCTTTTGACAGCACAAATCACAATATTTTGATTATTGCTGCATTTATTCATAGGCCTTACTCACTTGGATAATAAAAATGCTTTATAATTAGACTTGGATAGAATGCAGAGCTAATTTTCCCCCCCCCAAGATCTGATTCTAAAATCATATGTGTACTCAGTCAAAACAGATTTTACTTAATTACATGAAAAAAGTGCTATTTGGCCTCTCACCACAGAACTAGACTGGATGAATAAACACCTCTGTGGCTTTAGGTTTAACATACCAAACCTCCATAAGCACTTACATAATCATGTGTTTACTGTGCTCACTGTAACTATACAAACACACACACGCTCAGATAATTCTTTAACTATTTGAGGCTGAAATATGAATCCAGTTAAAACCAATAATTACAGTATTTGACAGATGTAATATTCAAATGTGCGAATATCCAGTCCCATTATAACCCTGTAGTTCAAATTTACAGTAAATGTAAACACGAGATTAGATTGGCTCGATCTGTTCTAATGTTTCGCTGGATATATGTGGCAGCTGTCCTCAGGCAAGACACTTTACCCACTTTGCCCATGTACAAATGTGGTGTGAGTGATCGCGGTGGTTGGAGGGACGATGGTGCGAGACTGGCAGCCTTGTCATCTCGAGTCTGCACCAGGGCAGCTGCAGCTACAGACGACACTTGTATATTGACGACAGGTTGTCACAGCAAGTGAGGACACTTGATTCAACTTCCAGGTTAAACAAACAATATATAAACTGTAATGTAGCACTAAAGATCTTAAAGATCAATACAAATGTTTAGGGATTTAGGAAGACTGCCTTGAATCTGTATATTCATGCTCCAATAATAAAAAAACACTGTCTCATACAATTTAAACTTATACATAGGCTTCACTATTCCAAAGTGAAAATCCAAAATATTTTCCCCAATGTCTCTCCGGCTTGCGATAAATGTCAGTCCTTTGATGCAACGCTATACCACGCACTTTTCTCATGTCCAAAAGTGGCCGCCTCAAATCAAACTGAGATCTGAATCTATTGTATAGTTGTTACCTGGAGATTTTTCATTATAATATATGTTCTTAGAATGTTCACAATATGTAAACTTTCAGTTAACTTTCTATGTATGGAACATAACAAGTATTTATAACGCAATTTCTGCTGATGTCTTTTGATGGAGGAAATTTGCCGTGTTTTGTATAGAGGGAATATAAACCTGGATATGTATGTGGGGTTTTTGTGTGTGTGTGTGTGTGTGTGTGTGTGTGTGTGTGTGTGTGTGTGTGTGTGTGTGTGTGTGTGTGTGTGTGTGTGTATGTGTGTGTGTGTGTGTGTGTGTGTGTGTGTGTGTGTGTGTGTGTGTGTGTGTGTGTGTGTGATGTGTGTATATACATGTGTATGTATATATAACATATATACTATAATATGTGTATATGGGTATGTGTGTTTATTTAGATGCTGTATGTATGTATTATATATGTATATGTGTGTGTACATATGTATGTTGATGCCCATCAATAGGGAGTTTAAGGGTGGGGGGTGGGGGTTAAAAGGGAGAAATGCAATGCCAACTGGAATATGTATAACTGCAAAAAATAACACTTGAATAAAAATTTGATCACAAAAAAACAAAAGTGGCCGCCTATTGGTCTGATGCGTTTAATACAATATCGCAAATTGTTAAAATGACATTATTGCCAGAACCTTGTTAATTATCCTTGGTAGATCGGAAATAATGAATAATCTGACATCAGCCCAAAATAAGTTAATTCCTATTGTCATATTAACGCCAAGAAACTACTCTTAATGTCATGGAAGGGGCCATCAGTACCAAGCTCTAATGTGGCCCTGAGACCTTCTTTACATTTTACATCTAGAGAGAATACGATATTTGTTAAAGGATAAACTACAGTCATTTAAGAAAGTGTGGCAACCTCTTAATGATTTTTTAGAATCTGTAACTATCTCCAAATTCACAGATATATGCACCTCCGCAGGCTGTTATTATGTTTGTGAGTTTATTTTTATTGTAACTTTTATATACCAAAAAGTACTGAGTGCTGCTGATCCTGTACAATTTGACTTGTGCTCCGTTTTTGGCTCAATAAAAATGTTACGACTAAATGTTTAGGGGTTTATGTTCTCAGTTGGTTGTTAGTGGTTAGTGGTATGTGGCAGAAGATCTTCCAGAGAAAACACTTTGAGGGAATGGACTATTTTATCACCAACCCAAACACCAGAGCGGAGTAAGAATGAGACATTTCCTGTTGCGTTCACCTGGCGCCTCGGAACCTGCTGTGATGCTGCAGGACTTAGACTAGAGACACTACTGGCTCTTCCTCTCCTTAATCTGTCCTGACACAGATCTGATAACCCTCCTGGACCAGTCCTCCTGTTAAACTGCACCGAGACATTTGACTGAGACACAAAGGCCACGCAAATGCAACAGTTTGCTGCAGCAAAACTTGAACGGTGTTATGATTTGAATGGCGGCGCATGCAGATGTAGCGGCCTCTCGCTCTCCCAGTCGTTGTTTACACGTGGGATAGAGAGAAACAAATTCTGATTTCTTTGCATGTCTAGTATGCAATGCTGGGCCTGGTTGGAACTTGGATGGGAGACTGCTGGGAAAATCAGATGCCACAGGGGGGCACCAGTCACAAAAAACTGTCATTGTGTCCTTAGGCAAGGCACTTCACCCAGATTGCCTAGTAGGAAAATAAAAACTTACCTACTTACTAGTACATGTGAAGAAATTGACAATAAAACCAACTTTGTACTTTGAACTCTGAACTTTGTCTAGTCAATGAATCCGTTGATGAGTCTTGGCAAAATTTTTATTAGTCAACTAACAAAAATTTGGATTATAAAAAGGATATATACTGTATGTACTGAAGTCAAAGATTTGGGAGTGAAATCAAAATACAGTTTCCTAATGCTTGTTTTATTTTGAATAGTAGTTTTTGCATGAACTCCCCGTGCAGGTGTAGTATAGAGAGTAAAGTTTGTGTCAGATACGCAGAGAGACACAATAATTTTGAGAGCTTTTCCCACTCCCCCTTTTTAGTCGACCAACCGATTAGCAGGGCATCTTTAGTCTATCATTAATTTGTTTAATCAACTACAGTCCTACAAATGTTAGACATCATTAATTAAGGATATAATTTAACCATTTTCATTTACAGTATGTCTAAAATCTAGTTTCATCCCTTCCCTAGTATTAAAATCTCTCTAAACTTGAGTGTGTCTTACCTGGTGCGGGGGGCGTGTGGAAGGTGACCTCGGGGCTGTAGGGGCTGAACAGGGAGTTTCTGCAGCTGCGCACTCTGAAGGCGTACAGGGAGTCTGGCTCCAGGTCTGACACCAGAGCACTGGGACCATAGACCCGCTCTGTAGATGTCCACACGCCACTGTCCTCCCCGTCAGACTGAGGGGGGCAAGGGCTCTGTCCTCCGAGTCTAAAAACACAGAAGATAATTCATCAGTTTAACATGTTGAAGTAGAGAAAGAGACAAAACAGAATAGTGTTTTTTACAGGTAATATTATAAGCTAAATTGACTCTTGTCAGCTTTAAGCCATGTTAGAACCAACCTGGAAATCCATTGGTATTTTGAGTAAAGTTGGCTCTTGTATAAATGTTTCATTCACGATGACTTTATATTATAGTTTAATCTACCATTAAATCATGTATTGTAACATGGTTTGGGGTTCTAAATGTAAGACATATCTCAACAAGATTTTATTAATACAAAAGAAATGTTTAACAATTATGAATTATTCACACAGATTGTCCTCATCTGCTAATCTGTTCAGAAAATACAATATTCTGACAATATTTAATGTAAACATATATTATATTTGTCTGTTCAGGTATAAATATGTCAAATGTTTTACCCAGATCTTTTTCATGTTCTCTTCAGATGTTCACACCTAAACTATGAGACACTGCAGAGACTTTTATCTTCCTTTGTGCAGAACTTCCATAAATCAAAGAACACTCAGGTTCATTGGACTATATTAAAAGACAATTAAAACAATAATTTGTAATGCTATTTAACATTTGGACTAGTAGAAGTCAACTTGTCTGTTCATGTCTGTTCATGTTCATAGGGGAGATGATCAGTTCCATCATTTCTGTTTCTATCTGTTCAAAATGTTGTTTTTAATATATGTGCAAATAAAATCTAATGTACAATGAAGCAAAACACAAGTCTGGGTATCCTAATGACCAGGACACAACATTATAACATAGTGTAGATGTGAAAATGGTGTAATATGGGCCCTTTAAGCACAAACATTTTCACCTTTCAAGACGCCGAACATGGTTTACAGTGGATTATTCATTCACTCATTCTCTGTGGTGGTAAACAACTTGCTCCAGCTGCCTTGGAGTAGACTGACAAAAACAAAGCCCACACAGTCACACACACATCACATTCACACCAGGCAATGTGGATGAAGTGTCTTGCCTAAGGACACAACAGCTTCCACTTAAGCCACTGCTGCTCCACTGTGGCACCCGGTATATCCAGCAGTCTCCCATTCAATACTAAACAGAACTAACCCAACTCAATAGTTTGTCCATTAGAAAATTGATAATTGATTTGATTTAAATTCATTGGTCCATTCAATACTTTTTTACTGAGTCTTACCTGCGATATTCCAGCACATGATGGTCTGTGGGTAAACTGTCTTCGGACAATCTCCAGTGAATGGAAGCTTCGTTATAAACTCGGCTGTTGGACAGGTCGATCAGAGGAGGGTCTGGGACTGGAACGGGAAAAAACAATGACAAAAACAAATAAGTCACCAACAAAAATGATGTTTATAGAAGAAACTGGTGACACAAAAGTGAGAAGTGAGTACATTTTTCATTTAATTATGTAAGTTATGTTATTAGGTTCTTTTTTCACACCAAGAGTTTGTTTTCATTCCTAAATATACATAAAATATCAGAAGACCAAATGAATCTCATTGGACCATTACGTAAGTTTTCAAAAACGTATGCATTTTGTCCTTAATCTTTCTCTCATTGTTGTATTAGTTTGCAGTTTTTGTTATATTTTACTTGTTATCACAGGTGGTAATTACCAGAAAAATCAGATTACTGAAGTCACATTTTTAGCCCATTTCAGTGACAATGATCAGATTTTGTTGTGCATGTTATCAAACTTTATAGAGCGCATTTCATACAAAAATGCAACACAAAGCGCTTAAATATAACCACTGATTCTAACTAAATCTATAAAATTAACCCCTTAATCTCCAGTTTCACAAATGTTAAAGTGAGAATCATTCTGGATTGAGTTTTTGGTGCAGACCTTTGAGAGAAAGGTCTTACATAATGAGCACGGACACTGCCAGAAAACGCATATGCACTCCAGTCCCTCTCAAATATTACAAAAATCATCAGTCAACAGCTTCTCAGTTAGTTACTCTCAACTTTTTGTTGAAAGTCAAGCCCCAAAACACGACCATGAACGTTTGTATCGATCACAATCTTCTGAAAATGTGCAGTTTAAATCCATTTTGTATTTTCAGACCATCTTTAAACTCTCCTGTTGTTTGTGTTTGCTCATGTGGGCATTGGCAACTACTGGCCATTCCGCTAATAGAAGCACATGTAGAACCCAGCATGTCACTGCAAAGTATCTGTATTTCCCCCACTTATTTTCATTTCTGAACTTTAAACGCATTACGCTTTCTGGTTCTTCTTAATCTTCTTTATTCTCTAATGGTAAATCTTTAGTAAAGCCTTTATAGCCTTGGGTGAATCACATTAACAGAAACCATGTAGGTCACTCACTACTTCAAGATCAAGGCGCCTTCTATACACTCGGGCTGCGTCCCATTTCCACAATAGAGAAATCTCCTTCATTCCTACAGTTTTATCCCCATGCAAAGAAGCGAGGCCCAAAGGAATCTTCCCCCTCTCTGTTCGTGTGACAAAAGATTTATGCAGCTGCTAAGGGATTTGAGAAATATTTTGGAGAAATTGGATTCGGCCTTTGAGACTTGTCGATATTTTGCAGTGAGATCATGGGAGTGCTCTAAAATGCAGTTTTGTTGGCAGAATGTTCAGCGGTTTCCATGGCGACTCGACGCACACACGAGCAAACACGGACACAAAAGGTTTTAAGATTGTCTGAAAACTCAAGAAAAAACAAACAAAATGGATTTAAACAACATATTTTCAGCCTGTGATCAATACGGTTACATGCTGCTATTCCGACATGCCCCCGTTTAGACATTGACGGAGTTAACTGTCGGAGTAACAGCATAAACATTATCTTCAAGTATCTCACTACTTTGAAAAATCATAAAGTGCTGCTACTCCGACAATGGCAAAAAAAAAAAAAAAAAAAAAGTCAAACATTCCGCTTTTCGGACATATGATATGATGACATGATAGCTTATTATACTTTGTACCGGCCCAAGCATCTTATGATACATGGGAGAACAAAGCCCTTGATCAGAGAATACTTAGGACATTTTCCCACTGTCTGATATCTTTTGTGGCCAAACTGATTGCCGTGGGAAACAGTTATGCATTAAAAAAAAAAAAAAAAGCATAGGCCAGTCTTCGGGAAAATATCTAATCTAAAAGGGAGGCTGCATGGGCCCTTTGTGCTTCATTCATTTCGTCATGTATCTGGAGAACTAGTCAAGCTGGTGCCTCCTAATGCCTCCGCTCAATTTCATTTCTCTCCAGCGACTAGGTCAGGAATCGTAATACACTAGACGGTTTGCAAGAACCCTGGAAATTGTAGACGCCGTACTGGCCAATCAGTGAAAAGCTGTGAAGCCATGACGTCAAACTCAAGCGTCTGTCTGGGTCCCTTTTGTGGAGCAGCACAACAGTAAACAAAGCGGTTGAGATGGATGTAGACGAAGACAGACATTCTGTGTTGGCAACGATTCCTGAGATCGAGGATTTAAAGCCGGAACAAAGAGAATGTTTGGTGAATTTTATCAAGAGGAAAGGTGTTATTGTCCTTCTTTCTACGGGATTTGGTGCATTACGTTAAATAAAAAAGTACCCGCCTACCGTCGACAAACAATTCCTAATGCAGACTGTTTCCATGAAGTTAAACTGGCTGATGAATCAGGCTAGAGGAGAACACCATATATCCTAAATAAATAACCAATCAAGTTCATTGTGCCAGCTCAATGAAGCCCAAAATGCACATATGACGAGTGGGAATAGCAATACTAAAAAGTGTCTGAAAACTGGCAGGTGTAAATAGAGGCATGTCGTAATGAAGTGAAGTCAGAGTAGGCAGTGAATCCTGATCAGATCAATACGAGTCATGGTCCTGTTTAGGTGTGTGATTTCCAACAAAAGGGTGCACGTGACTAGCTGAAAAACTGATGTAGCTCCAACTAAGTCAGCTATTCCTGCCCAGATTAACTCTAACTGGAGTCACACAGATTCTAAAAGAGCATTGCCGCCAGTTAGCATCACACCCCCAGGAAATGTTGACGATATCAACTGCAAAGTATCGAGAGAATCTCCTCAATTCCTACAGTTTTATCCACACACAAAGCAGAAAGGCCCAAAGGAAACTCCCCGTCTCTCTCCTCTCTGCTGGTGTGACAAAGAAGATTTACAGAGCTGCTAAGGGATTTGAGAAATGTTTTGGAGAAATTGGATGCAGCCTTTGAGACTTATTGCTTCTTGTCAACTCAAATTAGCCCATCCTCTCCTGTGGCCCATACCTCCAGTAAAACGTATTTCCCGTGCATTATTTATTTACAACAAACTCTGCAGTAAGGCTCTAGTAATCTGGTACATTTCTACTGTGCACTTGGGGTAGATTAATCGAACCGTGCCTGCCAATCAATCAATTTGAGACAACAACTAATAACTATCCTCGTAAATCAGACACACAAGCAAAGTGGGCGAAGTGTCTTGCTCGATGACACAATGAGTCTACTGACCAGAACTGTGATCGTGCCAACAGAGTTTAGAAACTTAGAGAAGTCTTTCCTTCACTGACTTAAACACAAAGTTGCTGTGACATTGTATTTTTGTGTTTTTTGGCATTTTTGTCCATACTTCTTGCATGACTGAATAATGCATGTTTAGAAAATGGCTTTGACTAAAAGGAACATTAGTAAAATCCTACTTAACTCCCTCATATCTCCATTTTACATCCAATAGAAATGTGATACAGCTGTGCAACTAATCAACTTTCAATCCATGGAGATTTCAGAGTCTGAGAGAAAAAAACTGGACTATTTATTCTGTTAAATGTCAGTGATTAGAAATGTGTGGCATTTATACCATCTATGTAGCCTGATTTATCAACCAGTTTCACTTCGTAGAAACAGTCTGACCTTGCAGCATTAGAATTCGTTCGCTCGACGGTAGGTGGGTACTTTTAAAAAATTTAACCAATCACTGCTATTCATTCATTATAATCTTACAAATATCTCTAATAATGTTTTCATCTTAATATAGGATGACCAGATGTCCCCGTTTCCCCGGGACAGTCCCAGTTTTGAGCCCTGTGTCCCCTTCCCCTGTCCCAGCAAATTTATACAAAACCAGTGATTTGTCCCAGGTGTCCCTATTCTGGACCAATTTAATTTAAAACAGGACTAAACCTAGACTCAACCAGGACTAAAATAGGACTGCCAGCACTAAAGAGAAGCTTAAATTATGATTTGTTTTGCCAAAATACAGAAATCCATGTTTATGAATGACGATCTTTGTTGAATGCAGCAACAAAAATCCCTCAGATTCATCAGCCAGTTTCACTTCAAGGAAACCGTCTACCCTCACAGCATTAGGATTCATTCACTCGATGATGGGCGGGTACTTTTTTTATTTAACCAATTGCAATCATATGTAGTGCGCCGCTAACGGGGCTAACTGGTATATTAAGCTTTTCCCAAATCCTGTAGGAAGGAGGACAATAACATCGTTACTCTTAATAAAATTCACCAAACATTCTCTTTATTCCGGCTTTAAATCCTCGATCTCGGGAATTGTTGCCAACACAGAATGTATGGCTCTTCGCTGATTGGTTGGTGCCCAAACTTGCAATTCTGGGGTTTTTGAGAACCGTCTAGTGTATTTTGATTCCTGACCTAGTCGCAGGAGAGAAATGAAATTGAGCAGAGGCAGTAGGTGGCACCAGTCTGGCTACCATTTATGTGCATGCATGGATATCTTCACTGTTTTGAAAAGTGTGAACAATGTAATGAAAATATGCTGTGTCATATCACGTAGCCCTCCATCTGATACAGACATAATGAAGCTTGTGGTTTCTGGTTCTAGTTCCAGTTTTGTGTTTGTGTCTAAAAGCCTTCATCTCCCTGCTGGTCCTTTGCTGAATCATCCGTCATTAGGACCTTATTGAGTTACAGGAGACAGACCCGCCCTTTCTCTCAGAGTGCGGCTAAAAGCTCTGTTCAGTCCCACAGCTAAAGGAGCCATCTCTGAACTCTCTAAAAGCAACACAGGAATCTCATCTTTAAATCGATCATCTATACTGGCAAACACGAGAAACCTTAAACAAAACTGTACCATTTGAGCTAAAAAAGGTAGTATATTTATTATTTAGTTTTCTATATTTAGTCTATAATCATTAGGGATGTAACAATAACCAAAATATTGTGATATCGTATTGTCAAAAGTCTCACAATAATACTGTGGGGTGTCACAATATATCGAATTACAAGTTTCTTTGCTTAAATGCATGGTTTTATAGAAGTAAACTGCTTATAAACATCAAAAACTACATATCCCATGATTCATTTCA